CAGGGCGCAGGACGGACACCCGGAGCGCCCGCCGCGGGCGGCTCTGCGCCCTTAGACTCGGGCTGGGCGAGGCCACGGTGCCAAGCGGGCGGGGCGTCTCCGCGCGCAGAGCAGCAGCCGCACCGCAGGAACGTGCGCTCCCCGGGCCATCGTTTTACCAAGTCCGCCAGGGCGATGGCAGGAAAGCGCGTTTTTTTCCATCCATAATTTTTTAAAAAATATATCTTTACTGAATTCAGAGAGTGGAAGGGAGGGAGAGAGAGAGGGACGCATGGATGAGTTGCCTCCCACACATGCCTAGACCGGGCAGGGAGAACCTGCAGCCCAGGGATGTGCTCTTGACCTGGAATCGAACCCAGGACCCTTCAGGGCGCCGGCCGATCACTGATCCACCCGGCCAAGGTTCTATCCATAATTTCTTGACAGTTTTTCTTTAAAATAAAATTAATCTTCTTTGTTTCCTGAACATATCACTCCTTTTCTCCCAGCCCTTCTCTGCTAGGGCTGGATGTGCTAGGCCTGCCCTGCCCTGCCCACCTCCCAGGGTTCAGGGTTGATGGCAGAGCTCTGTGGTCAGGCTCAGGATGGACTAGTGTTCACATCCCAGCTCCATTAGCTGTGGGACCCTGAGCAAGTTGCCTGGCACCCCTGGGCGCCAGTTTCACCCTTTGTGAAATGCTGTGCCCACCCCCGGCTCAGCAGGAGTGCTTGGTGACTTGTGACTGCGGTTAGTTTATTGCTGTTAGTTTATTTGCTGCTGAAATGGACCAGTGCGAGGGACCTGCCTGTGTGCTCAGGCCTGATAAGTGCTTTGAAACAGGACTCGTGCCCGGTGCCTCTGTCCCCCCTAAAACAGCCAGGATGGTGGGAATATAAAATATGTTCTTATTAAATACTTGTTCAGAGTTCATTCAAGATTTCCCACGATGATCACCATTGGATTATATTCATTCTCTGTGACTATATCATTTTTAATAACAGAAACAGCAGCAGTTGGTAGGGTGGCCAGCTTTTTGCAGAGGACCCCAAATGTACTGTTTTTAGGTCTTGTTTGTGGGGGGCACAAGGGTGGGTCAGTTTCTCCAGAGAATGATCCTCGGGTTTTGTGGGCTGAGGTTGGCGGGCACCCTGCTGGCGCGGGCAAGAGAGCAGGCTGGGGCTCATTTCTGTGTGCAGACTTCCCCTGAACTGTAACTTTGGTGTTGGTTCTTCACCCCACTTCCTCTGGGCCTGTTGTTCCCCTGCCCAGAGTCTGCCCGCGGGCTCCCCACTTTGGGGATGGGGGTTGTGATCACCTGACTGCCATGGTGAGGGGCTGCTTGACTGCTGGCACAAACAGCCCAAGTCTCCCTGCTTAATACACTCCAGGTGGGTTTTCTGGTCATGTTCCAGTGCCATGTGACACGGGCGGCGAGCTGTGCTCCACGTAGTCACCCAGGGCCTTAGGTGGCTTCCTTTCCTCAGCTCTGCCATCCACACCCTGTCTCAGCTGGGGGTCCAGGAAAGAGCAGGCGTCTGCTGTGTGCAGAGTGACTTCTCTCCTGTGCACCCACAATGGTACTGATTAGACAGCATCCTTAGGAGCTCTGAGAAAGTGGTGGTCAGGTCAGGAAGCCTGGCCAAGGAAGACTACGGGGTGTGTGCCCTCCGGGGCCTCTTGGGTCCTCCTCCGGGGCTCTGTGTCCAGCCTGCAGGCAGGAGAGTTGCCGAGGGCCAGGCCTGGAGGTGGTGGAATCACTGCACCCACATCCCACCTGCCAGAGCTCAGTCCGTGCCCACCAGGCTGTACAGGGCTCTGGGCAGTGTGGTCTGGCCGTGTGCCAGGAAGGAAAGGAAACAGTGCTGCATAGACCATGCCCCCCACTCCCCACGGGGGTCCTGGAGGGGCTGGGCCAGCCGTGCACAGTGATGGCCCCTTGGGGACCTCTCCAGCCCTGGGCATAGGACACGCAGGGGACATTTCTCAGCTGGCTCAGGGGCTGTAGATGGTGGGGAGCCAGGCCCTGCCCCCCAGGTCTCCAGCAGAGCCCCTGTCCTGCAGGTGTAGCCACTGCCGGCCGCCATGGGCAAGCAGAACAGCAAGCTGCGGCCCGAGGTGCTGCAGGACCTGCGGGAGAACACGGAGTTCACGGACCACGAGCTGCAGGAGTGGTACAAGGGCTTCCTCAAGGACTGCCCCACCGGCCACCTGACCGTGGATGAGTTCAAGAAGATCTACGCCAACTTCTTCCCCTACGGCGACGCCTCCAAGTTCGCCGAGCACGTCTTCCGCACCTTCGACACCAACGGCGACGGCACCATCGACTTCCGGGAGTTCATCATCGCGCTGAGTGTCACCTCGCGCGGCAAGCTGGAGCAGAAGCTCAAGTGGGCCTTCAGCATGTACGACCTGGACGGCAACGGCTACATCAGCCGCAGCGAGATGCTGGAGATCGTGCAGGTAGGGCGGGCGGGGCTGCCTCCCGCCAGGGCGGGCGTGTTCCCCGGGCATGTGGGCACCTCCGTCCAGGTGGCCGCCTGCTGCTCTCCTGGAAGGGCGCCGCTGTCCCCTGACCGGGGGCAGGTGTGAGTGTAAGTCACTCGCTAGCCATGGGGCCCGGCTGGAGCGCGCTGAGCAGTTCGGGTCTCGCAGCCCTACAAGGGGGTCATTCTCTGCATTTCACAAAATCAGAGGCTCAGAGAGGAGGTTTCCTGAGAATCAACAGCTGTGAATTACAGTAATTCTGAGGACTCCTAACGCTTGCGGAGGGCACCTGCCAAGGCCTTTGTGAGCCCAGGATTTGAATGCCTCAGCCGCCCACAGTGTCCCCGGGAACCTGCCATTATGAAGCAAAGGGAAACGTTAGCGGCCACAGCACGAGCTCGGGCACCGCTCTGGCACCTGTCTTCCTCTGCCCTCCTGTCAGCAGCTCTGCCCGCGAGGCTGGTTTCCAGAAAGAACCCGAGTCTTTTTGCTTTACCGGGTGCCTCGGGATGTGACAGCTGGCAGAGAACCACAGAGCTGCTACCCCCGATGTCCCTTCTGTGCCCCCACTTCTGGAGCCTGCAGGATTCAGGCCTAGAAGTCCTCAGAAGGGGTGTTCTTTCCCTGCGAAGGACCTCGGGGCTAAGCCTGAGCCAAGGGCGTCACACCCTGAGCTAGACCAGCAGCAGTGGCCCGAGGAGTGACCACCCAGTTCCCACGTGGGTGGTCTTCACACAGTGAGAATACACAGCGTAGGTTTCAGGACTCAGGGTCGGTGTCACTCCTGGCTCTTGGCTGTGAGTATTGGCGGGAGTCAGAATCCCCCTTCCCGGAGTCGCTTCCCCTAGGCCGTGGGCCAGCCTCACCCTTCTGCAAACGGGCGGCCTGTCACTGGCTCAGCAGATTGACCTGGCCCAAACTCGGAGACATGGGCAGGATCATTCGGAACAGTGAGGGATGGCCATACCTGTCCAAAGGGGATCCGGCTGCTACACCCCCAAACCAAGTGCCCAAACCCTGAGAGTCTCCCCCAGCACCTTCTTTTTTTTTAATATGTCTTTATTGATTTCATAGAGAGGAAAGGAGAGGGAGAGAGAGATAGTAACATCAATGATGAGAGAGTCATTGATCCGCTGCCTCCTGCAGGCCCCCAAGCCCGCAACCCGGGCATGTGTCCTGACCAGGAATCGAACCCCGATCTCCTGGATCCTGGGTCAACGCTCAACCCCTGAGCCACGCCCGGCCGGGCTCCCCCAGCACCTTCTGATGGCTCCTTGCCTGCTGGCTGGACGCCCAACTGCTCCACCTTTCTCTGAGTGGACAGGTGTTTTTAAATACCTTTCGAGCCCACCCACCAGAGGCCTCAGAGGGTCATGGCCTCGCTCTGCACTGAGGCAGGTGCCAGCCCAGCCCCCAGAGGGTGTCCTGGCCCAGGAAGGTGCAACCCTGTGCCAACAGGCCCCACAGTACATGCTGCCTAAGCCGTGAAGCTAATGGGAGACGGGCGAGGAGGGGAAGGAACAATAGATTCTAGAAACCTCGGGGTCATTCTGCTGGTTTTATTTATTTGTTTATTTTTGTTAATGCCCTGCTTTTAAGATGTAACAATGCTCAGGCTCCTGCTGTTTCAGGAATGAGAGCATCAGTCAGACCACTTCTGCCCAGTCCCACATGGCACTGCCCCTCCCTGTGGCATGTGACTCTGATGAGCTGCTGGTCAGTGATCTCATCACTGCCCCGTCTCACACACACACTCCCCCTATTGCATGGAGGCACCTGCCTGGGCCAGGGCCCTCGGGTGGCAGCACCCTAAGGAGAAGGCTCCATCCTGCTGGAGAGCCCCGGGCCACCCTGTGCCGCCCTGTCTGGGCTGGATATGTGGTTCTCCCCATGGGCTTCAGGGGCTGAGTCTTTTTTTATTCTGAACTGAGGTCTAACAATCACACAGTGAAATGTTCGCAGCTGACTGTGCAGTGTGAGGGTTTTACAGACGCGGGCCTGTGTCACTACCCCCTTCGGGAGTTACGGGGCGTTCCCAGGCCCCAGAAGGCTCCCCCTCACGCGCCTTCCTGGGCACCATCCCGCCTTCCCCCCCAGATGGCACCCCATCTTCTGACTGGTGCAGTGGGGCTGTTTTTTCTGGTCTTGAACTTCCATCCATGTGTCTGGCTTCCTTTGCCGGACATCCCATCTGAGATATCCACCGAACTGTCAGGAGTGTAGGGGACAGTCTTCTGTCCGGGGAGGGTCCTGAAGACCCGTGAGCACCCCAACCTCTCTGAGCTGAGATGTGGGCTGGACAGAAGCTGGCACCTGCCCCATCCGCCCCGGAACGTTCGGGAACCTCTGAGCACACGCCCGTTTGTGCCCCTTTGCAGGCTATTTACAAAATGGTGTCGTCGGTGATGAAGATGCCTGAGGATGAATCCACTCCTGAGAAACGGACGGACAAGATCTTCAGGCAGATGGACACCAACAATGACGGTAGAGCCCCGGGTCCTCCGTGCCTGTGGGCGCCGCTGGGAGGGAAGGCGTGTTTGGGGTGCTCCCCGGCCCCTCCGCAGCTCCTCGGGCCTCCAGCCCA